TTCGTCCCATGTTTTGGATTTCAGCACGGTTCAGTTGAAGGGTGATATGACTTATGATGTGGAGTCGGTGGCTATTTTGGATCGGCAGGTTCGAAGGTTGAGGTCAAAGGATATAGCTTCAGAGAAGGTGCAATGGAGAGGTCAGCCTGTGGAGGAGGCCATCTGGTAGACTAAACGGGAGATGCGGAGCAGATATCCACACCTATTCGAGACTCCAGGTATGTTTCTAGACCCGTTCGAGGACGAACGGATGTTTAAGAGGGGGAGGATGTAACGATCCTGCCGGTCGTTTTGAATATTATAACCCTGTTCCCTTATTTACTTCTCAATTTATGTCTTGCAATTGATTTATAACTTATCGGGTTAGTTGGCTCGGGTCCGGAAGGAACTCGGAGTGAAATAAGGCACTTAGTCTCATAATTAAAAAAATAAGTTAGAAAAGTGGACCGGATATGGACCTATGTGTAAACGATCTCAGATTCGAATTCTAATAATTCCAATAGTTGCGTATGATGATTTTGGTCTTAGGAGCATGTCCGGAATATTGTTTGGAGGTCCGTAGAGGAATTAGGCTTGAAATGCCGAAAGTTTAATTTTTGAGAAGTTTGACCGGGGGGTTGACTTTTTGATATTAGGGTCGGAATCTGATTCTGAAAATTGGAATACCTCTGTTATGTCATTTATGACTTGTGTACAAAATTTTAGATCAATCGGACGTGATTTGATAGGTTCGGGAGTCGTTTGTAGAAATTAGAAATTTCAAAGTTCATTAGGCTTAAATTAGGGTGTAATTCATGGTTTTAGCATTGTTTGAGGTGATTTGAGGGTTCGACTAAGTCCATATGATGTTTTAGGACTTGTTGGTATATTTGGTTGAGTTCCCGAGGGGCTCGAGTGAGTTTCGGATGGTTAACGGGTTGGATTATGGACTTGGAACTCTGCTGGAATTTTTCCGATGCACCATCTGGTTTCCTTCATCGCGTTCGCGAGTGGAGCCTCGCGTTCGCGAAGAGAAACTGAGAGGCTGGCAATATTTGCTCTTCGCGTTTATGAGGAGAAGAACGCATTTGCGAAGGGTGGACTGGGTGTGCATCGTGAACGCGAGAGATGTTATGCGTTCGCGAAGAAGAGAGGAAGCAACCGAGGACCCCGGGCAATTGGTCTACGCGTTCGCGAGGGGGTGTCGCGTTCGCGTAGTGAGGGGGAACGAAACATCGCATTTGCAATGGGTTGAACGCGTTCACATAGAAGGCATTGAGGCAGAGGCATTTTGTGCTTCGTGAACATGAGGGTGATGTCGCATTCGCGAAAGAGGAATTTGGACGGGAGCTATTTTGTGCTTTGCGAACGCGAGGCATTGACCGCGTTCGCGAAGAAGAAAAGCCTGGGCAGTGAGTTTAAGTTCTGAAAACCATTTTCAGTTTTTGACAATTTGGAGCTCGGATTGAGGCGATTTTTGGGTGATTTTCAGAGGAAACAACGGGATAAGTGTTCTTAACTCAATATTGGTTAAATTACCCGAATCCATGATTGTTTTTATCATTTAATTAGTGAATTGAGTTGGAAAAAAATTAAAAACCCTCTTGGTTTAAATTGAAGATTGAGGGTCGAGTTGGGGTCGGATTTTGGTAAAATTGATATGGTTACACTCGTGGTTGAATGGGCTTTCGGATTTTGTAACTTTTGTCGAGTTCCGAGACGTGGGCTCCACGGGCGATTTTTGAGCTAATTTTCGAATTTTTATGGAAAATCATTATTTTCTTATGGAATTGATTCTAATGAATTTTATTGACTGAAATGAATTATTTATGACCAGATTCGAGGAGTTTGGAGACCAATTCACGAGGAAAGGACATTGCATAATAAGAATTTCATGGCTTGAAGTTAGTAACGATTGTAAATCTAGTCCCGAGGGTAAGAAATCCCAGATTTCGTATCATTCTACTATTTTGAGTAGACGCACATGCTAGGTGACGGGCATGTGGGCATGCACCGTTGGGGATTTGTGACTTGGTCCGTCCCGTAGCAACTGTAAAGTTGCATATTTTGTTGTAACTATATGATACTTATATGCTTTAGAAATAGTTTCTGTAAATTGGACTGAATGCCATGTTTGGGCCGTGTGCCAGTGCTATTTGGACCCTTAGGGGCCTTTGATTACTATCCTCTCACTGTTTTCGATTAAAAATCTATACTCAGTCATGGTTATACTTGTTTACTGCATAACTCAGTTTTATGACTCTATTTTGATGCATATAAATATTTTTGGGCCGAATGCCCTGTTTTACTGAAACACCCGAGTGGCTTGAGAGGTTTATGATTGAGTGAAGCCGAGGGCCTGATTGTGAGGATGAGTGTGGATCGGGGCTGCCCTCCTGCAGTATACTTTATTATTATAGCACATGAGTTGTCTGTACAGCACGTGAGTTGTCCATGCAGATTATAGCGCTTGGGCTGAAGGAGCCGCTCCGGAGTTTGTACACAGCCCCAGTGAGCGCAGGTACCTACTGAGTGCGAGTGCCGAGTGCTGAGTGACTGGGAGGCATGAGTGATCGTGAGGTATGCTCGAGTGGCAAGAGTGATTGTGAGGTATGCTCGAGTGGCAAGAGTGATTGTGAGGTATGCCCGAGTGGCACGAGTGACTGTGAGGTTTGCCCGAGGGGCTGTATATGAGTGATGTTTTGCCCGAGGGGCTGTTTAAGATTTCATCATTTTTGCTCACCTTTACATTTTTCCTCTGTCTGAAAATTGTTGAAAAAATATCTTTAAATAATTTTTACTGGAAGTGGGTTTAAACGAGATGTTTTGATTCAAACCCTGATTTTTAAAAGCATGAGGTATTAGACTGAGATTTCATGATATGAATGTTATATGCTTTATTGCTCGTCACTACTGCTCAGTCTTTATTTATTGTTGTTACTTACTGAGTTGGCATACTCACGTTACTCCCTGCACCTTGTGTACAGATCCAGGTGTAGCTGGACATGGTAACGGTTGTTGATTGTTCTGATTGCAGATTTTTCTGGGGGATATCAAGGTAGTTGCCTGGCGATCGCAGCCCTGCTCTTCTCCCTCTTATCTTCCTCTAGTTGTATTTAGCTATTTTCCAGGCTGAGTTAGCCTTGATATTGTTAGACAGATTGTAGTAGATGCTCATGACTAGTGACACCCCGATGTCGGGCTTTTCCTTCCGCACTTTGTTTTTTTTATTGGAACTCATTTATGAAGGTTTTTATGTTAAATAATATTGAAATTATCTTTGAAATGAAAAATATCAGTTTGTTTTTTAAATGAGTCGGCTTGCCTAGTTTCACGATAGGCGCCATCACGACAGGGGTTAGTTTGGGTCGTGACATTGCATTCATATGAATAAATCAGGGTGTATTCATCTGTATTTAACAGATTGCATTCATATGAATTAAATAGTTGTATTCATCTGTATTCAATAGGTTGTATTTATCTGTATTCAACAGGTTGTATTTATCTGTATTCAACAGGTTGCATTCATATGAATTGTACAAGTTGTATTCATCTGTAATCAACATATTGTATTCACATATATTCAACTTGTTGTATTCATATGATATTGGCAGGTTGTATTCATATGTATTTAACAAGTTGTATTTCAAGTCAGAAACAGTGTTTAGATGTATTTCACATTCAGTAACCATATACAATCTCACATCCAAACATGTTTTGTATTTAGATGTATTTAAATGTATTCAAAAACATGAATGATTTATGATGAATGACATATGAAATCTATTTACAATACACTCATATTCTGACATTTTGTATTGATATGTAATAGTTGTATTGTAATTATATATTCAGATTTAATACACCAACTAACTATATCCAGAATATATTCACGTAAAAATTCAAAATGTATTATTTCAAAATCTAACCTGAATCTATGACACATCGTTATAGCACTAATATAAGTCAGAATGTGAACTAAGTCCTACATGGAGCATTTCTACAAGTACGCTTATTATGACCTTCCTGCCCACATATGCTACATGAATGTTGATTTTTCTCTGTAGCAATTCACTGAACGGCTTACCGCGCTTCTTCTTTGGCCTTCCAGGAGGTCTTTTTCATTTGGGTGGTAAGACAACTTCCTCTGATATATGTGCTGGTATATTTCATTCATTTCGGTCCGGCAGCGGATACACGGGCACCTCATATATCATTACAACAGACTTTGGTTTGTGATAGTCAGAGCAATAATCTTCTGGTATTAGAAACTTGCTCTTCAAGACAGCCCAAGCGTGTTGGCATGGTAATTCATTAACTTGAAACCGCCCACAACTACATTTTCTCTCTAAGAGGCACATGGTGTAATGCCTTCCTTCATCGTTCACCGCATGCAAGTATTCGGTCGATGGTACTACCTACATTTAAACATAGACCAATTATTTTAAAATATTTTAAAAAAAAATTATTTATATATCAAAGAATAGACGTATTAATTACAATATAGATATATAATTAAAATAAAATTTAAATATACAACATTAAACTTTTATTTAGCTTTCAAAATCATCATATATATTGAATTCAAACAAATTTGTATTGAATACAAACATATATGTATATATAAAATACAAAGAAATACAGCTATATACAATGAAATACATTGAATACAATGGAATACATTCTATATATGCTGACAGAATATTACAGATGATTACATTTTGACTGGTGAATACAGTGATATACAATAACTATCTGCTTATGAAGTGCATATAGTTAGAAACAAAACCATTAAATTCAACTAACGATACAATTAGCATAAGTTCTGTATTTTGAATAGTAGAAATTGTATCAGAAATAAATACACCTTGTACCATGGATAAATATAGAATACAATGACTTATAAAAAAATAACTTACAGTCATGCGTGTAGACATTGCCTCATTCAAGGTAAGCATATCCTGGTATTGTTTTTCAAGCGTTGTGTATGTTTGTGAAGTTTCTTTCCGATTGCTGCAATTCTAACGTCCAAACATCTTCCTAACTTCTTCGAGGAAGTCGTATATTGGCAATTCATCATGTGTGTATGCTTTTGCCAAATTCAGCATGTGTGTACGCTTTTGCATGTCAAATTCAGACTGTCAAATTCAACACGTGTGTATGCTTTTGCCATCGAGAAGTATATCTCGCTCAACTTTGAATGACTCTTTTTGAATTTCTTATATACGTTGTTCCATAGATGCCATATACAAGCAAAATGTGGTACCGCTGGATACACTCTTGATACAGATTTGATGATACTCTCATTCCTATCTGAAATGATGCACATGTTTTCCCTCTCACCATATGCTTTCTTGAATTGCTCAAAGAACCACGACCAAGCAGCATCGTTCTCTGAATCAATAACACCATATGCTAGTGGCAGTATATGACCTGTAAAGACAATTGCATACATATTATAAATATGTATTTCAATCTTTAATAGGCAGTAATATTATCAAATTTTATTATAATCCCCATACTCACCTGCACCATCCAACGTGTTGGCCGAGACGAATGTCCCGGTGTAATACGATTTTAAGTGGCTTCCATCCACAACCACAATGGGTCTACAATGATCGAACCCCTTTATAAAGGCATACAAATAAATATACACATACATGAACTCATTTTTTGGCGATTTTACCATTCTAATGTGCGAACCAGGATATGTCATATCCATTGTATATAAGTATCCTGATAATTTATTGTATGAATCAACCAGTTCACCTCTCAAAAAATTCATTGCCTTTTCTTTAGCCCGCCACGCCAACATGAAACTAATATCTACACCAAAATCTGATTTTACATCATCAATTATATCCTTTGGGGTGTATTTCCTCTTATGATTAGTAAGCTTGGACCTAATCATACCACCGATAAGACTGCTACTTGCTTGACATTGCTCATACACCTTATCCTTCAACAAACATGTATGCTTATCATTGAACTCTCTCACTTTGAACATTTGTGATTTGTTAATGCTAGATGCCTTAAACCTCCATTCACAATCCTCTGATATACATAATAATATATAGCTGCAAATAATATTTTCGCAATATATACGATGAGTATAAATGATCAACAATTCACTAA